CTGATTTCCAGGATGTGCAGCACAACACCTGCCAGTCTAATCTCCCACTCTCACAATAGAGCAGACAGACAATCCGTCTTCCCAGAATGCATCTCTGCTTTTGTCTTCCGCTCTATTGTTGGCTGGGAGAAAAACTTCCTGGGAGATGTTGCCATGGCGACGTAAGGTCATGCAATGGCCCAAAAGGCCGTGAACGGAGCAAATCAATGAGACAAACACCAGAGTCATAAAGAAGGCTGATTGAAGGGGAAGTGTGCTTTACATTCACTGTGTGTGTGTGTGTGTGTGTGTGTGTGTGTGTGTGTGTGTGTGTGTGTGTGTGTGTGTGTGTGTGTGTGTGTCAGCTGGGTGCAGATACTAGGTCTAGAGACATCAGTGAAACTCCACAAAGTATAAAAAGTCAGATGTCATTTTTTTCAATAAATCTGTTGCCGTTATTGAATATTTAGCCATTTGTCCCCAAAACTGAAATTCTGAATTTCAAAAATCTAGATAAAATAAAGATAAGAGAGACCTTTAATCTATCTTTCTACATCGTCATTTATGTTTGTTGATGTGTTTCAACTGTGTTTTTATGGTATTGGGCCATTTAAATCAAATTGGATTTGATTTGATTTAAATTATTGATCCAAGTAGAGAAATTCAGAATAATGGTGTGTTTAGGAATACAAAGACAAAGCCATCAAACAACTTTATTAATGCTAAACTTTGAGTAATTCTCAGCTCTCAATGGCTTCAGGAAGTCTAAGTTACACAAACAAAATGCTGCCTTTAAGATAAGATATGCTCCTTTTAGGTTTTTACTAACATTATAACCCTGCTAGTAATCTCCAATTGTATCAGAAATGTATCAGTAACCAGATGTCTTTATGTACCTGTAAGGGAATACAGTTACCTTTTAATATACTTCATTCAACTTCCCAAGCCGAATTTACACTAAGCTCCCGAAATAACACATCTTCATTTGATAATCTGTCGAGCATTTTAACGAGCTTTAACAGGTCACATATCTGCCACCTAACAAACCTCTCACACAGATTAATGATGCAAAATAATTTCACAAATACATCTTTCACAGCCAGCCACTCAGGGTTTGAATACATTTCAATGGCTGTATTTAATAAAGGCGGTCAGTAATGTTGAGGCCTCTTCATGATTACACGGTGGATACAGGGCTCCTCTATTGACGCCTGTGTAATTACCTCATAGTGTTTCCAGCCGCAGAGCAAACAACCTGTGGATGTGACAACAAGGTGCCCATTAACACAAATATCTGCCGGGCAAATATTTAGCCGTCAAAATATCCAAAGCATTTCCATTTCCTTCAATAAGTGCATTCAAGGACATTTGATCCGCAGTCATTTTTTTGAGAGCGTTCTTTTTACACTGAGATTAATTTGCATACTCTTGCCCCCTAATTGTTCATTGCTAAAATATGCCATTAATACCTTGCTTTTACATTTAAAGAAATCCTTTACATACGAGACGAACACACGGAATGTAAAAGCTTATCTGAATAAAGGACGTACATTGTCGCCATCTGCGTGATTTTGCGTAACACAACATAACAGTTTTTCTAGTTACGATCAAAATGATAGTTTACAAGTAGGGATGTCCCGATCACCTTTTTTTGCTCCCGATCCGATTCCGATCATTTGATTTTGACAATTTGCCGATACCGATTTTTCCCGATCCGATCTTTATGCAATGCATTAAGAGAGAAAAAAAGCATTCAAGTTGTCCCTTAAGGTTATTTTTTTATTTAAATTGGATATTCTATCCAACATGGACATAGCTTCTTTCTTTCACAGCAGCATTGGATCAGTTCAGTTGTGCAGCATTGGATCAAAACAAAATAAAGCTTTCAGTACTCGTTAGCTTACTGCTACAATTAGACACTGCGCCCACTCTGTTGCCAGATTTGAGAGAAATAAGCAACCAGGTCTATGAAAATAAGCCCCAAAGAAGCAACACATACATGATGTTGTGTAATTTGAAACCAAAACTAAGGCCTCAGGATGACTTTAAGACTTGAACATGGTCATTTTTGTTTTGTAACATTGAATAAAAAAATAAATAAAAAAAATTTAAAATCCCGATCCCCGATTTTTTTCTCCCGATTTCGATCTTTTGAAAATCACGTGATCGGCTCCGATCACCGATCATGTGATCGGATCGGGACATCTCTACCGACCGCAAATACTTAAAGAAAATAGGCCATGATACCTGGATATACCATACTAGTACTTTTTAGTTTTTGTTGTTGATACATTCGAAAATATTATAATGACTATTTAACATATACCAGGGCTATCCGATTGGCAGAGGTAATATATATATATCTATATATAGATATATATACAGGCCCTTTGAGTAGAATGTTAAAAAGTAAGCTAGTTCCTGACTCTAGTGCCCACTCCTTAGGTTGGATTCACTTAGGTTCAATTACTTTAGTTACAAATAGTGAAGTTCTAGCTATAGTTCAAATGGAGTAATTTAAGTTGTCTGATGCACTTCATAGTTTGACTTTTTTTAAATACTCATGTGTTTATTCAAAACCATAATGCACACAGGCCTGTTTTTTAGTTTAGTTTAGTTTGCACTGGTGTGTGCACTTAAATTGATGTTGATAGTTAAATGAGTTAATGGTTCACATGTACTGAGTTCTGAATGTCATCTAAATGTAGGAATGCCTTGGGCATGTGGTTCCCTGATTTTTGTGTCACGCTTTTACAACATACAATATAAGCAATCCTATGTTGTTGTTGTTGTAGTACACTACTTTATCTGTAGCTATTAACATGATTGCTCATATTTCAGTTTCTTGAGCCCTTATTTTGGATCAGTTCATCAACTGCCCCCATTCAAAAACTATTAAATAGCCCTAAGGGCTCAAGAAACTGAAATATGAGCAATCATGTTAATAGCTACAGATNAAGCTGTATGCCATAATCAGCAATATTAAAATAATAAAAGGCTTGCAATATTTCAGTTGATTTGTAATGAATCCAGAATGTATGACATTTTTGTTTTTTTTAAATTGCATTACAGAAAATAAAGAACTTTATCACAATATTCTAATTTTCTGAGACAGTCCTGTATATCCGGGCTATTTAATAGTTTTTGAATGGAGGCAGTTGATGAACTGATCCAAAATAAGGGCTCAAGAAAAATATGCCTTGAAATATGAGCAATCATGTTAATAGCTACAGATAAAGTAGTGTACTACAACAGCAACATAGGATTGCTTATATTGTATGTTGTAAAAGCATGACACAAAAATCAGGGAACCATATGCCCAAGGTATTCCTACATTTAGGAATGGTTGGATGCTACAAAATCAGATGCTGTTGGTACCTGTACATGTGGATAGATATGTAAATTGTAATCCCTGTACATTTTGCTGTATGATGTCCTTTTGTTGTTCAGTTGTTTATGTTTTTATGTTTTCATGTGGAACCTACTGCTGCAGGTCTCCCTTGAA